GTGTAGTGACTGTGTTTTTGAAGGCAAAAGCGGCAACCAATTTGCACATACCAATCTCCCACAGACAGTCATGAAGTGAATGAGCAATTTTATCCTGGTGGTTTATGGCCAGGACACCGGGAAAAACTCCCTTCTATTTTCAAGTAGAACTACGGCATCTTTAATATCTACTTGAACTAGCAGATAAAACTTCAGTTTAACATCTCATCCAAAAGATGGCATCTCTGGATGGCATCCCCAGCACTGCACTGGAGTGTCAGCATAGACTGAGAGGTGAAAATTACGATGTGGAGCTTGAACTCAGAATTCTCTGATTGAAAGCAAGAGTGACACACTAGCTAAACTAAGCAGATACATATGTGTCCATTCACAACTTATAGCAGAAACTCAATACGCCATGAATGTTGTTCAAACGAATCCTATTTTGACTGATTTTCTTTGACTGAACAGATCACCAAAATATGTAACTTTGAAATGTGCCAGTCAGATTTAAACACAGTTAAAGACCGAGGTAGCAGTAGTATCAAAGGCCCAAATTTATTGAGGCATGAACACTGCAATATAATTTACATGAGCAGGCCAAATAGGTATGTTTTGAGACATACCTTGAACAGGAGGAGGGAAGGAGTCCTGTAGCTCAGTGGTTAGAGCACTCAACTTGCAAGCGTTGGGTTCAATTCCTGGCAGGGCAAAACCTTGGGCAAGTTTCCTTACTCCACATGCCTGACAATAATCCCTCAAGAAAAAAAAACAATAATAAATTGGTCACTTCAATCCACGACTGTTTGTGGAACACCCCTGTGCGCAATTGACTGCTGTGTTTTGCCCACAAATATACAGTCAATTCATTTTGCAGTATATTCTGTGAAGCGCTATGAGATGTCTAAAAGACCTGAAAAGCGCTGTATCAAATGCAAGGATTATTATTAAGTAGCAAGTCCCTCAGGCCAGAAGAACAAAAAGAGGCTACAAAATAATGTATGTAGTCCCTCTCAGCCGAACAGCACTGTAAGAATGCACTTTTGCCCTTATTTGACGGTATGCTTTCAGGAATTTGAGTTTGAGTTGTTCTCTACTGTTTGGACAGTTTTACAAAAAGAGGAGCATGACCCCATGTAAGGTGGAACAGTGGTAGGGGAGAGATGAGCCCTCATGAGCCAGCTGCTGTTCACAGAACCCTGGGTAGACCTTGCTTTGTTAACTCATTCCCTCAGTGCCTATTGTTGGGTTGGCACTTGCAATAACTAACTATAGCACCACATCAACTCCACACAGCTGCAATAATGACCTTGTCTGGCACTCACCCAGCAGCAAAATCTGCAATGGGAACGATGCCAAGTTAGTGACTTTAGCAGGGAAACAAGTGAATGAATTAAGTGTGTGGCAGCAAGAGAGGTGGTGGACGTCTCCGGATCTAGACGACGTGCTCAGTATGTGAGATGAGCTGAGAATTCTGTAAATGATGAAGAGCCTGTTTCTAGTGGTTTCTTTAAAAAGCTCACAAGGTAGATTTTCTTTTGATGGATTGAGTAATGATAAATTCAAACCAATGGAGGTCAAAGTCTTGTTGCACTTGGAAAGTGTACCATTGTTTATTTTAGCAAAAGATCATCCACTATATGTTTCCTGCATATTGTTCTGCAAAATTCAAAATCCTCATCCTCACCTTCAAGGCCCTCCACGGCCTTGCCCCTCCCACCTCTCTGACCTGTTAGAGTTAAGTATGTTGGAGAGGGAAATTTAGATTAAGATCCAATGTGACTACATCATCTTCAGTCTCTGGTGTAAATTTGGTCACTGAGCTCAATAAATTTGGCCTACTTTTGAGATATTGTTATATGCAAATTGGCTCCTGTGCTCGCCTATAAAATACTGTCATTTCACTTCACAGTAAAATCTTGAGACATCAGCAACTTAATAATAATAATAATCCTTGCATTTGATATAGCGCTTTTCACATCTTCTAGATGTCCAAAAGCGCTTCACAGAATATACTGTAAAGTGAATTGACTGTATATTTGTGGGCGAACGCGGCAGTCAATTGCGCACAGCAATGTCCCACAAACAGTCGTAGATTGAAAATGACCAATTTTATTATTGTTTTTTGGAGGCATTCTTATTAGGCGTGTGAAGTAAGGAAACTTGCCCAAGGTTTCGCCCTGCCTGGAATTGAACTCAGGTCTCTCGCTTTCAAAGCGAGTGCTCTAACCACTGAGCTACAGGACTCCACTTAATAAGGTACTATATCAAACACAAGGATTATTATTAATAATAAACTCAATTTTCAGTGCTTGACTAACATTTTCATTGTCTCATCGTTTTTTCAATACTCTTGTTTAAATCTCATTTAGGGCTTTCTGTTATTTAATGATTAATAACTTGTAAAATTACAAAATTCATTTAAATCAATTGCACGAAGATATAGAAATTGTGCACAAAGTCAGTTCAGTAAAATTAACCTCAAACGATTACAGAATTACAGTTATTTTTAAATTCCTAACTTTTCTACAGTCTGTTTTTTTCATTTTTTTAGGGTGGCAGCCTGACTCATTTAGTAGCACTCTCGCCCTGATTCAAAAGGTTACAGTTTCAAGCAGCACATCTGGGATTTTGAACTAATAGTCTCGGTTGACATCCTAGTGCAGTGATGGGGGAGTGCTGCATTGTTGAACCAAGGCCCCTTTTGATTGTTCAGATGGACATTAAAGATCCCATGACACTACTCGAAAAGAGAAGGGAATTTCTCCCAGTGTCCTGGCCAACAATCTCGCAGATAAAAATTGAACATTCAGTTATGACTATTTGCGGGATATTGTTATGCTCAAATTGGCTGCCACGCTTGCCTACAAATTACGGAATCACTACACTTGCAGTAAATCCTGTGAAGTGTTTTAAGACATCCTCCCAATGAGAAAGATTCTGTAGGAAATGCAAAGATTATAAAATTACAGATAATGAATTCCAAATCCCTTGCAATCCACCTACTGAGATTATGACCTAAAAGTACTTCAATGTGTTCAAAATGCTCGGTGTCGTACATATTTCTGTGTTTTTTCTGTATTTTGCCACTTTTTTATGACCTTAGTATTTGAGGTGTTTATTTTCTCTATTAATCTGTAAAGTATTGGTTATTTTGCATTTGCCTGCAAAGCACATAATCACATATATATATGTCGTCTATGACATGAAAGGTGCTATATCAAATGCAAGGATTATTTTATTATTTATGACACCATAATTGATGGTTGAATAGTCATTCCAGACTAATTTACATTAAAGGATATTGTAAGACTATCCTAAATATCAAATCAGATTGAAAATCAATTTAACAAAAAAGCTTGATCATTTGATTTACAAGATTGTTTTTCTCTCTCCTCCTTCCTCCTCCAACCTGTTCTCAACAAAAGCCCAGTGATTTTCTGCAGGGTTCTGAGGTTGAGCCATTACCTGTTATAATATACAATATTATACAATATTTGATACATTTTATACAATATTTGATGCAATACCTATAACGTTGAAACATCTCAAAGCACTTCACACGTAATTTGTGTCAAATATACTGACTGTATTTGTAGGCTGAGGTGACTTGAACTCCTTTCATATTGCTCCATCCTGTAGTGAAATGATTGCTAACTCCTCTTTCCTCTCTTTGATGACTATGCCGACATTGAAAATTGCTGTTTGAATGCTAATCTTTGCCCCACCTCTCCATGACAAAGAATGTTGGACCACTATACCTTACTTACCATAACAACTATTTGAAGAGAAGAAGTGAATTTTCCGCACGATCACCAGATTTATGAATGACATTGTGACATGGTTAGCTTGAAGTCGATGCATTTTACATGTTTCTGTGCAACTGGAAGGGAGTATCTGATGTCAGAAAAAAACATTGTCTTCTCCAGGCAGTTCTATTCTTTTTATCTTCCCTATTGGGGAATTCACCATCCTTGGTGGAACCTATTTTCTTAAATCTAAAGTCAACATCACTTACATTAGCATTAAAAGTTGAGATTTTATATAATGGGGATAAATATTAAAAAAAGTTACTTTTTTCTTAACAGCTTGGGGAGGGACCATTTTAAAATCGGATTTATTTTAATGGTAGTTTTTAATCTTCAACATATGTGGGATCAGCTTAAAAAAATTCAACACCCGTCCAGAGGAAAGTAGTCTCACAATCACAGTGAATCTTTTACTTTGTAAGAAGGTTTAATTAAAAGGTCATAGAGTTATTGACTAGCTGTAATGCCTTACACAATGAGGAAAAAAGAGAAGAGAAGCACAAGCGCTATCTGTTTTCTCAATATCTGATAAAAGTAAAACAGAGAAACCAGTAACTTGCTCCTAATTACAGGAACACCAAAGGGTCAGCTATAGTAACACTCGCTCTTACAATGGAAGTTATGAGAATTTGCATGAACACTGTTAGTCAGTAATAAACAAAGAAATTAAATTTGTGGAAGGGTTGTATCCTTCAAATGTTTCTGAAATAGTTGTATTTTAAAGCAATGAATGATTGCAGGGAATTCGATTTTTTTTAGTTCAAAGTACATTGGAGTTTTTTATATGAAATACAGTCACTACTCTTTACAGTATATATGATTTAAAAATCCTTTATTTTGCCTATTAAAATGTGTGAATTAGCTACCACATTCACCTATATATTATACAATCCCTACACTTTATAATAAATCTTGTGAAGCCCTTTGAGATATCCTTGTGACATGAAAGACAGTGTATCAGATATAAGGATTATTAGTAGTAATTGAAGAGCTCTAAGGTTTGCCGTGTTCAGTGATTGCATTACAGTTCATCTCCTTAAAGAACATTTCAGAGCACTCATCTGCCTTTTTCATTAAATGATTAATCAACAGACTGTCATTCTTCTTGGTGAGAAGGTCAAAGGTCTAAACAAAGATTTGGTTCCAGACAAAGAATGACTATTGTATAAATTACCCTCTTGATAACCTTTCTTTTTCCCCCCTAAATACTAGGATGGAAGAATGATGGGATGGATCTAAATATGGGCTGCAGGGCAGGCCTACAGTGTTCCTTCCTCTGCCTTGCCCTACTGCTCTTCCAGCTCTTTGCCAGAAGTTGCCAGGGTCAACAACTTGAAGATCCAGCATTGACACCAATCTTTCAGTTTTCACATTCCCTGTACAATGCCACTATTTACGAGAACTCTGCTGCAAGGACCTACGCCAACAGTAAAGTTAAAATGGGAATAAGCGTGGCTGATCCTTCATGGGATGTTAAATACAGGATTATTTCTGGAGATGAAGACAGCTTCTTCAAAGCTGAGGAGGTTTTACTTGGGGACTTCTGTTTCCTCAGGATAAGAACTAAAGGTGGAAATTCTGCAATATTAAATAGAGAAGTTCAAAACCACTATATGCTTACTGTGAAAGGCACAATTCGAGGGGAGGCTTTGGAGGCATGGACAAAAGTGAATGTTCAAGTCTTGGATATGAATGACTTGCGACCTTTGTTTTCTCCAACAACATACTCTGTAACAATCCCTGAGAACACACCACTAAGGACTAGTATTGCACAAGTGACAGCAACTGATGCAGATATTGGATCGAATGGAGAGTTTTATTATTACTTTAAGGACAGAGTGGACCTCTTTGCTGTTCATCCAACTAGTGGAGTGGTTTCACTGAGCGGCCGATTAAATTATGGTGAAAGAAATCGCTATGACTTGGAAGTTTTGGCAGTCGACCGTGGAATGAAACTCTATGGGAACAATGGGGTAAGCAGTACAGCAAAGCTAGTCATTCATATTGAGCTCATCAATGAATACGCCCCAACTGTAAGTGTGGTAACACACATTCCCTCCTTGATGGACAGTGATCCCACCTATGCCATTGTGACTGTAGAGGACATGGATGAAGGCATTAATGGGGAAATTGATTCAGTGTCCATAGTGGCAGGAGATCCGTTAGAACAGTTTCACCTCATTAAAACCGGGTTAGGGAGGGATGAATATTGGATAAAAGCAGGGAATCCTGTAGACTGGGGAAATTTTCCTCATGGTTATAATCTAACTCTTCAGGCAATAGATAAAGGATCACCTCAAAAATTCTCTGCAGTGAAACTTGTACACATTGGGAATTATCAAGAAAACTTGAACGTAGTGACTTTTGAAGAGGATGTGTATGAAGTGGAGCTGAATGAGTTTTCCCCTCCTGGAGTAACAGTTATTGCTGTTAAGCTTAAGCCTGAGCCGCAAAATGTGGAATATAAGCTCAGTGAAACTGATGATGTTGCTTATTTCCACATCAATCCCAAGACCGGTCTGATCACCACAACACAACATATAAACCTCCTGACGAGAGAGCATTTTGTGTTAGCTGTTATGAGCAATGCTAATGATATAAAAGCCCGAGTCATTATAAATATAGAAGATGCGAATGATCACACACCGGAATTCCACCATGGGTCATATGAGATATTTATCAATGAGAGTTTGCCCATTGGGAGCAGAGTTTTAACTGTTTCTGCAACTGATGACGATGAGGGAGAAAATGGTTATGTAACATACAGCATTGCCAGCCTGAGTCCACTGCCTTTTACAATAAACCAGTTTACTGGTGACATTAGTACAAGCAAGGAACTTGATTATGAGTCTTCATCTCAGAGTTACATGTTTTTTGTTCGGGCTTCAGACTGGGGTTCACCTTACCGGCGTGAGAGTGAGGTAAACGTTACCATCTACGTGGAAAATGTGAACGACAATAAGCCCCTGTTTGAAAAAGTGGCCTGTCATGGAGTCATTTCGCATGAGTTTCCTGTTGGTGGACAAATAACTGCAGTTTCGGCCATTGATGTGGATGAATTGGAGCTGGTGAAATACAGAATAATTTCTGGGAATGAACTGGGATTCTTTGAACTGAATTCCAAGTCTGGGGTACTTCTGCTAAAGAAAGCCTTTAGCAGCGCAATTCCAAAAGACGGGCGCTTTGCACTTCACATAATGGCTACCGATGGAGAGAACTATGCTGATCCTATGTTTGTTAATATTTCTTTGGTGCACGGAAAAGTGCCATTAAAAAACTTTGCATGTAGAGAGACGGGAGCTGCTCAGAACCTGACTGAAAAACTACTGAAAAGGGCCAAAGTAAATAGCAAATCAAAGATGGAGGAGTTATTTCTGGATCTCTATTCTATCAATCGACAAGCTCCACAATTTGATACATCTTTTCCTTCTGAAATATCTGTTAAAGAGGATCTTCCAGTCGGCTCCAGTATACTTAAGATCTGTGCTTTTGATGCAGACAGCGGCTTCAACGGCAAGGTTGTCTACGCTATCTCTGAAGGCAATATAGATAGTTGTTTTAACCTTGAAATGGAAACTGGGTGGATAACAATTCTGATGCCAATGGATCGTGAATCAGCTGATGAATATGTGCTTAATATCACCATTTATGACTTGGGGTCTCCTCCAAAATCTGCTTGGAAGTTGATGACTATCCATATCCAGGATGCTAATGACAACAAGCCCCAGTTTTTGCAGGAGACCTACTTTGTTGCCATTCCTGAAGACACTGAGATTGGTACAGAGGTAATTCAGTAGAGGCCACAGATAATGATTTGGGCTGCAATAGTGAAATAATTTACACAATATTAACTGACACACAACTATTTGCCATCAACATGACAACTGGGATTGTATACGTGACTGGGTTGCTTGATAGGGAATTAGTCACAAACTACACTTTAAAAATAGAAGCCTGGGACAAAGCCGAAAATGACCCTCAGTTGTACTCTGTGGTGGGTTTGAAGATAGTCCTGGAAGATATCAATGACAATCCTCCCCAATTTATTCCATCAAACTATGTTGTCAAAGTACTTGAAGATCTGCCAGTGGGTATTGTGATTACATGGATTGAGTCGCATGATCCGGATCGTGGCTTGGGTGGCCAGGTGCGTTATTCTTTAGGAAACGATTATAATGGGAAGTTCGAAATAGACAAGATTAGTGGAGCTGTGCGTTTGTCAAAGGAGCTCGACTTTGAGAAACAGCAGTTCTACAACATGACAATTCGGGCTAAAGACAAAGGGCGGCCAGTGTCGTTGTCTTCAGTGTCCTTTATAGAAGTTGAAGTGGTTGATGTCAATGAAAATCTTTACACACCACAGTTTTCACGTTTTGCAATGATGGCCTCGGTGAAAGAGAATTCACCAATTGGAACAAGTATTCTGCAGCTCACAGCGTACGATGATGACAGTGGAAGAGACGGAGTCATTCAATACTCCATCCGGGACGGCAGTGGTCTAGGACGATTCACTGTGGAAGAGGACACTGGTAAGTCTGCTCTCAAAAGTTGATGTTTATAATCCGTTTAATATGGTGTATTCACCATGTGATATTTTTTTTATGGTAATAATTCCGATTAAGTTGAATTGATGACCACAGTATATTTTTAAGAAGAATTACTTAATACAAGTTTTTAAATGTTTTGAGCTGTTTCTTTTTTATTCATGAGTGTTATCAGAAAAGTAACCACTTATTTAAATGTGTATCAGAAGACAGAACTGCAAAACACAATATAAGCATATCAGGAGCTAAGGTAGGTTAAAAACATATGTGTTCTGTTTATGTTTATGAAGACACACCAAACATTGCAGTTTCACACCTGTCTTTGCAGTTTTCTGATGCATTATTCACTCTTAGTTTTCAAATGATTTGGCCTTTTCTGATCTTCTGGTATGCTGGTAGAGCAAATTCATTGTGTCGATTGTTTCTTCAGTGCTACCCTTTTGTCCCATGCAGCGTGTTGTGTAGGCATTGTGTGACTCTCAGCACAGGTAATTGCAATAAGCATGGTGGAATCTGTATAACCACATAATGTTGAGCTTGCATTTTGCATTCATATTGACAGAAAAAGTACAATGAGGCCCATTACCAATGTCATCAAAATCCATATGGATTGATTATTTGCCTCTATTTTCCTTTAACAATTCTTTAAACAATTTTATACTTTAAGATACATAAGAACATAAGAATTAGGAGCAGGAGTAGGCCATTCGGCCCCTCGAGCCTGCCCCGCCATTCGATAAGCTCATAGCTGATCTTCATGTATGTAATGTAATACATTATTACATACATTCACTCAACAATTACCATGCCACTATACCATAAGATCGGAACCAAGTTGTACAGCAATGGTGCTTCTGTGTCATTTTTTTTTCTTTTCCAGAATCCTATTTATATGTCATCTTTTCACAAGAGCCTGTTGTGCTTTATTTCTTCTTGGCAAAATAATGTTAGCCGTGCACATGTAATAGATCTTATTAAACTATAACACCCCATAGTAAGAGAGAAAACTTCAATGGAAGAGCAAGTTTGAAGACCCCAAGCAAAATGCTTGGGAATGATATCTTTAGAATGCTTTAGAATGATATCTTTCGTAGAATGTTTGCACTCCATTGGTAAAATTGATAGTGTTGATACAATTTTGTTAAAAGTTGCTCTGAAACAGAGCACTCAACAAAGTCTGTTTGAATTCCTATCCAACTACAGTATTTAAATACTGAATGATGAATAGCAGGTATGTGGCATTCAATACTATGTTGCAAACATATGCTGTTTGATAGCTTTAGGCACTGTTTATGCAGTTGTTTTGTCAGTGTGTTTCATTGCTGATTTATATAAGGCAATCCTGGGTGCTTATAAAACTCATTTTGTAGTTTTAAAGTTATGATTTTGGCATTCTATTCTTCCCTCTCTCTTGTGTGGAATCATGTAAAATGAATTTTTCAAGGCAGGCATGTTTTACTTCTTCAATTTATGCAGTCATTTATGGAGCAATTAAAACTGTGCAGCACAACATTAATCCAGATTAAAATCAGGCATTTGGCGAGTTTAATTTATTTGCCACTCTTGGAGTTTGCAAAGATGTATAACTGCTAACTATGTGCTGGGGTCAGAGAAACCATTGGGTTGAAAACACCCAGACCATTATGTCTTTTCATTTTATTACAACAGCATATAAGGCAGCAGCAGTTGTCTTTTGCTGAACAAAAGTGTGGCTGATGTTTTTGCCAAAGAACTCTTTTTGTTTAACAAAAAGTGCTGACAACTTCCGATAGCTGATGTATACCATAAGTTGAAGAGGGTGAAAGCAATTTTAAAGGCAATCTGACCTGTAGTGTTATTGGTAGAAAACCATTTAATCACTGTTGGAGGAAACTGAAGAGACTTTTTTTTATAACTGGATCAAATACACACATTTTAGGTATTTCCATTAGTGCTTGAGCATCGAAAGAGTTAACTTGGCTTTGCTATTCATTTATTTTGAAGTCCTAAAGATTCGTGATCGGTAGCTTAATGAGGACTTTTCCATTCTTTAAGATTTTACTTGTTATTCAAAAGCCTAGTTTTTTTCTTTGTCACTGAGGTGTCAGCACTCTCGCCTCTGAGTCAGCAGGCTGTGGGGTCCAGGTTGACATTCCAATGCAGTGCTGGGAGTCTGTGCTGGAACTTTGGAGGTACTGTCTTTCAGCTAAGTAATTAAACCAAGGTCTTGTCTGCTTCTTCAGATGGAAGTTAAAGATCCCACGGCAGTATTTGAAATGAGAAGGAGTTTCTCCCATTATACTAGGCAACAATCCCCCAAACAAAATTGATCACTCCCTTTTATTGGCTGTTTGTGAGATCTTGCTGTGCGCAAGTAGGCTGCCGCATATAAATTCAGTCACTTCAGTAAAAGCGTTTTGAGGTGCCACGATAATATGATAGGGCACTGTATTCAATGCAAACGTTATTATTCTAAATTCAATTTCAGTAAATGAATGAAAAAACATCACTATTTGACCTAGTATATTGTTAACTTGCTTGCAGCCTCTCTGTATTTTGCTATCATAAACCTATGACTTTATAGGTGATAAAATTGATTGCCGCTTCTTTTGGAGTGTCACAGACTAATTTAGTAGATAATCCACAGATATAACACTATGACAAGCTTCCAGTTCTAAAACGTCAAAGAGATTCCATTATTCTTTTCCTGCAATCCATTTTTGTAATTATTTTCATGGATTGCATTTCAATTAGTAACCAGATTAATGGCATCAATGCTAATGTACGCAACCAGCATTTTCACACACACTGAGGCCATTTAAAGTGCAGCTGCCTTAATATTGATTTTAATTAAAGAAAATACATTGAGTAATTGGGTAGGGATGGATCATTGGTTTCAGTGAACTGCAAGCGTTCTCCCTGTTTTTAATCTATAGCCCCGCTTTTAGGGAAAAGATGTGTTTCAATGCAGACTTAGTTTCAGAATACCTGTTTTATCCCCTTTTTGTTTTCCTTTGATTTGTTTTTCCACATTATTATTGTGTTATCAATTATACAGTATTGTCATTACGTGTATCCAGTAGCCTGGTTATTGTCAGCTTTCATTAATGTAAAATTGGAGGTCGATTGATGACCGTGGTGGCAGAACCTGCATATGAGATGGAATTGCATTACAGCAAGGAAACAAGCCATTCAGCCCAACCAGTCTGCTGCTGTTTATACTCTATATTTTATACTCTACATTTGCATTTCGCCCACAAATATACACTCAGTTCACTTAACAGTCTATTCTGTGAAGCGCTTTGAGATGTCTAGAAGACTTAAAAAGCACTATATCAAATGCAAGGATTATTATTATTATTACATGAACCCCCACCATTTCTAATTCTCTCTTCCATATCCCTCTATTCCCTTGTCTCTCAAGTATGCATTACAATGCATATACAACAACAACAAATTGCATTTGTATAGCGCCTTTCAGATTGGGAGGACAACTGAAGGCGCTGGACAGTCAGGGATTTGGACCCGAGCTCAGGTTTGGGATCAGAGGGGGTGGAGGGCAGGCAGTGTAGGGGTAGGAGGGTGACCGAAGGCACAGTCAAATAGGAGGGTATTGAGATGTGCCTTTAAGGAGGCAAGGGAGGGAGCAAGGCAAAGGGACTGCTGGATGGAGTTTCAAAGCGTGGGGGCAGAGGCTGAAGGCCCAACCGCTGATGGTGGGGAGGGCCGGGTGGGGGATGTGGAGCAGGCTAACTAGAGGGAGCGGATTATGGAGTTAGCAGGTCACAAAGGTAGGGAGGAGCAAGGCCGTGGAGGGCCTTGAAGGCGAGGGCAAGGATTTTGAACTCTATCCTCTGAGGAATGGGGCGTCAGTGGAGCCGGGCGAGATGATAAGGTCATGAAGCCTGGTATGGAAGAGGGCATGAGCTGCAAAGTTCTGGATGGTCTGCAGCTTGCGGAGTGAAGAGTTAGAAAGGCCGACAAGCAGGGAGTTGGCGTAGTGGAGCCTAAAGCATAAACATGCATTATTTGGTGGAAAACATAATTTAAGTATTGACTGCTTCTTAATATAATGCCGTTGACAGTAATGTCCCTTCTCCTATCCCTTCTCGAACACACTCCAAATTGATGGTGCAGTTCTATGGGTACTGACTGCTCTCCTGTGCCTTGGCCAAATGGCTATTCTTCATTGAGTGACCCTGGGATGTGGGTATCGACAGGCTGTTCAGCTGTGTGGTAATTACTTTGATATTATGAAGTAACAATGTCCTATTGTAACTGTATTGGTTAATTTACTCAGTAAAAATTCCTGTATAGTCTATCAATGTAGAAAATAATATTTTCTATGAAATGAAAATGAAAATAACATTTTCGTGTCTGTGAACGAATTTAAGGCCTTAAGGGGGCAGACTGCCAAGTCTGTCAGTCAATTATCCTTTCCCTCTTATACTACTCACAAATATGTTGCAATTCAATCTTAACTCAGGATAGTTTAAAGGAAATGTACATAGGGTCATGGTGCAGCTCTTCTTCTGGAAGCGATGTTGCTGTCAGCTCAGGTTAACAATACAGTGTGAAGTAAGGCTTGGCAAAGTACTTTCAGTTAAACATGAATTCCTTGGCAACTTGAATGCAATATTGCTGACAGCCATCATCAAATTTTGAATGACAAACTCAGAAAATCCTCATAAAGGTACCTTTCATTTAAAGACTTTTAAAATCCCTCATTGACGAAGATCCTCATTAAGTAATCTTATGGACTGTCTTTTGGGTGTAGAGCACAATGGTGTTGGGATTCTTGTCAAAGTCACAAACAACATTCTCTCTATCTGTGACCAGGATTCCCTCTGCCTCCTCGTTCTCCTGGATATCTGCTCTGTTTGACACAGTCGACCATGCCATCCTTTTCCACCGCCTCTCCTCCCTCAGTCACCTTAGTGGGACCACACTTGCATGGTTCGAGTCCTACTTGACCAACCACCATTTCAACTCAGCAAATGGTTTCT